TTTCATAGTTTTGACTGCTCTTAACCTATTCCTAGACATACTGACATTTTGAATTTAAATGACCCTGTATTATAGAGCAACTGGGCATAGCCCTCAAGCCTACTACAAAAAGCACCACAGACTCAGGAGACACCATATCCAAGTTAAAAATAGATTCAGGCCAGGTGTGGTGGCTCACACCTATAATTCCAGCACTTTGGGAGGCCAAATCAGACAGATCACTGGAGGTCAGAAGTTCGAAACCAGCCTGGCCAATGGTGAAACCCTCCCTACTAAAATACCAAAAAATTAGCTGGCTGTGGCGGCAGGCATCTGTAATCCCAGCTACTCAGGAGGCTGAGGTAGGAGAATCACTTGAACCCAGGAAGTGGAGGTTGCAGTGAGCCGAGATCGTGCCACTGTACTCCAGCCTGGGTGACAGAGCGATACTCCATCTCAAAAAAAAAAAAAAAGAAAAAGAAAAAAAATAGATTCAAAGTCATTAACTCCATACTATCTCAAATATGACTTTTACTTGTAGGGCCTCCACTGTATTCTCCACAGGGATGCCAAAGTGATCTCTAGATCACCTTGCTCCCCTGCTGAAAATATTTTGGCTCTCTCTTCTGCTATAAAATACAGGTATAAACTTCATTTTTAGCTTAGCAAGCATGGTCCTTCAAAATCTAGACAAGACACACCTTTGCAGGCTCATCTCAAGTCATTCCCACTGTTCCAGTAACACACCTTATCACTAGCCTTCCCCTAACACTTGACAACTCAGTGCACCCACAGTTCCTTCTGTTTGAAATGACTCTCTCTCCCCAGTGAGGCAAATTCCTATTTGGGGTTATTTTCGTAAACTATCTCCACACCCTCCGCAAGTTTAATCATTATTGTCTTCTTCCACAGCACTCTGTGCACCTATTAAGCCTATACATGACCAGAAGACAAAACTGGAGTATCATTTCTCTTTGAATTCTCAATGTTAAACACTGTGGCCAGTACCTACCTTGATGCGTAACTTAAGTTACCAAGAAAATATAAATGGATGAAGGAGAGGTAAAGACAAGATAAGGGTAAAGTGAAAGCCTGAATGAGTCTCCATTTTGCATCAACTAATCCCCCTTCTCACTAATTACTCATTCAAGTACCAAAATATGGTACATTCCATTGTACTCTAATGCACCCCAGCTATGCATACAGTATGTTTACAGTTTATTCAGCATTTTTTTTTTTTTTTTTTTTTTTTTTGAGATGGAATTTCACTCTTGTTGCCTATGCTGGAGTGCAATGGCGTGATCTGACCACAACATCTGCCTCCTGGGTTCAAGCGATTCTCCTGCCTCAACCGCCTAACTGGGATTACAGGTATGCGCCACCACGCTTGGCTAATTTTCCATTTTTAGTAGAGACAGGGTTTCTCCATGTTGGTCAGGCTGGTCTCCAACTCCCGACCTCAGGTGATCCACCTGCCTCAACCTCCCAAAGTGCTGGGATCACAGGCATAAGCCACCGTGCCCAGCCTATTAACCATACTTTGAGTAGTGGGCCAAAGATATTTATAACTCCAAGTCTTTGGCTATCCCAGTAAAACATACATTTTTAGCTGAACCTATTAGGACTATTCCAAAGTGATAAATGCTTTAAAGCACAGCTTCCTAAACCAGTGGACTTTGCATATGGGAATGGGTTCTAAATATGCTGAACATATTGATCCCTCATCCCTAATGTCCCAAAGAATACAGCTGTGAGCTGCCTTAACCATTTATTACAATATGCCTTACATATATAATCCTTTTCTATTGTACTATGAAAAAGGTTTATGCTTTAAAGAATATAAGAAGGCAAATACAGGTACTAAAACGTATCAGCATTAACCAAAATGCGTATTTCTTTTTTTTTGAGACGGAGTTTCACTCTGTCGCCAAGGCTGGAGTGCAGTGGTGTGATCTTGGCTCACACTTCAACCTCCACCTCCCGGGTTCAAGCAATTCTCCTGCCTCAGCCTAGGGAATAGCTGGGATTACAGGAATGCACTACCACACCTGGCTGATTATATTTTTAGTAGAGATGGGGTTTCACCATATTCACCAGGCTGGTCTCGAACTCCTAACCTCAGGAAATCCAACCGTCTCAGCTTCCCAAAGTTTTTGGATTACAGGGATGAGTCACCACGCATGGCATAAAATGTGTACTTTTAAACTACAGCTACAGTGGGCATTCCTACAATGCCTTTACATATTTGTACATACGACCAAGTTCTGTAAACCAACCTTATGTCTGCTCAAAAGACAACAGTCTGAAATTTTCCAATAATTGTAGTTTTACTTTTTTTTTTTTTTGGAGACAGAATTTCACTCTTGTTACCCAGGCTGGAGCGCAATAGCACAATCTCGGCTCACCGCAACTTCTGCCTCCTGGGTTCAAGCAATTCTCCTGCCTCAGCCTCCAGAGTAGCTGGGACTATTTGCCAACAAGATTTAAGAAACCTGAAGGCCGGGCGCGGTGGCTCAAGCCTGTAATCCCAGCACTTTGGGAGGTCGAGGCGGGTGGATCACGAGGTTGAGAGTTCGAAACCATCGTGGTCGACACGGTGAAACCCTGTCTCTACTAAAAATACAAAAAATTAGCTGGGTATGGTGGCACATGCCTGTAATCCCAGCTACTCAGGAGGCTGAGGCAGGAGAATAGCTTGAACCCAGGAGGCGGAGGTTGTGGTGAGCGGAGATCGCGCCATTGCACTCCAGCCTGGGTAACAAGAGCGAAACTCTGTCTCAAAAAAAAAAAAAAAAAAAAAAAAAAGAAAAAAAAGAAACCTGAAAATACCTACAAATTGAAGTGGTATTCAAAAGGAGCCTCTTGAGCTACACCACCACTATCAAGACACTGGAAATTATCTAATGATTGACTTTCAGAGAAAATCTTGGTCTCTCTTGTCACCATTTTTAAAACTGATCAGGACATGGTTTCACTATGTTATGACAGTTATTACAGTCTTTGCATATTTTATTTCATATTTTTTTGAGACAGGGTCTTGCTGGTCTCAAACTCCTGTGTTCAAGCAATCCTTCCTCAGTCTCCCAAAGCGCTGGGATTACAGGCATGAGCAACCATGCCTGGCCATCACATAATCTTTTTTTTTTTTTTTTTTTTTTTGCTTACATATAGGAAAAACAATCTTTTTTGAACATTTCATTAAGCATCTTGTTCACCTACTGAGAAGTGGTGACCAGAGTCAACTACCTTAAATAACTTCTAACCATTAAAACGACCCCTACCCTCCCAAAAGAACAAACCTCTGGCAATTAGGTCACACTCTCATGTGCTCTCACATGCACACAAACACGGTCCTTTCCCTCATAACTACCATAACATGGGCAAGTCATCTCCACCTAGAAAGGTCTGTTTTCTCATCAGCAGCTGTTCAAATATTTAAAACAAAACACCTGGAGTAGATCACAGATCTAAAGATATTAAGAAATTTTTATTCTAAATTTTACTCTAAAAGTCATGACATTCTAAAGATTGTGATGGCCGGGCATGTTGGCTCATGCCTGTAATTGCAGCACTTTGGGAGGCCAAGGAGGGAAGACTGCTCGAGCCCCGGAGCTGGGAGACCAGCCTGGGCAACAAAGCAAGACCTTGTCTCTACAAAAAAATAAAAAATTAACCGTGGTGGTATGTGCCTGTAGTCCCAGCTAGTCAGGAGGGTGAGGCAGAAGGATCGCTTGAACCCAGACGGCCAACGTTGCAGTGAGCCGAGAACTGTTGCACTGCACTCCAGCCTGGGCGACACAGTGAGATCCTGTCTCAAAAACAATAAATACATTTAATAAAGACTGTGATAAATGTCTTAACAGCAATTCCCCCAAAAAAGCCTTTAAACTGTTTTATCAACGGCCCCACGTCCACTCCCACAGCCCACAAATCTGTTCTGGAGTGGTAAATTCTAGTCTACTGTAAAAAATACAAAGTGCTAGTACACACTATTTTATTTTTCAGTTACTCATATTCACTCTCTTCCTCGTCAAAGTTAAATTCCCAGATACAAGTAGGCAAGGAGATTCAGCACTAACAATGGGACAATCCACCTGGAAAACAGGTAAGTATGGAACTCAAATGCAAGCAGATTATCTAAAACACATCAGCTCAATACAGGAACAACAAATCCAAGAAGGTCAAGCGAGATGACCATTCACGATGTTGTCAATGGCAATAACGGTTAAAAACAGAAGAAAGGCTGCAGGTGTTGTTAGCAAGCTCTTCAAGGAGGGTGAAGGAGGTAGAGAGTCCACGGAAAAGTTTCCAAAGAAAATAACGATTAGTGTTGGAAAAAAGGAGAGATGTAATTTGGTTTGCCAGAGAAAACTGCTTCAAGAAGCCAGTACAATCTCCGAATCCTTAACAGTACCCTAAATCTCTTCACTGCACGCCAAGGGCTTCTCTAACCTGTAATCCACTCCGTCCTCTCCCCACAAAATCTGCGTTAAACTGAATTTTAAAAACATTTTGGGGGAGGGGATAAACAGTTGGTGTCTCGCTTGACAATCATCGCCGCCGCGAAGTGCCAAGTCCCACACCGCGCAGCGCGCCATCCACAGAGCGCTCCTCCAAAGTTGCCACCCATCTTGGCCACGAGTCCCGGGACGCGGACTCGCCTCCGCTGGAAACCGCAGCCGGGATCGGCCGGGATCGGCCGGGATCTGCCGGGATCGGGAGCCCAGCGCCGGCCCCCTCCCCACTGCGCGCCGCCGCCGCCGCCGTCAATCAACGCCCCCGGCCCCCGACTCGGCCCGGGCGGGGCGGGATCCCGGCACCCCGAGGGCCCCCCCACCCACCCCGCCAACAGCCGCCAGCTTGCGGCGCAGCGGGACCGCCGCCCGAGAAACCAAAGTTGCCCGCGCCCGAGCCCGGCACGCTCTGGGGCCCCAGAGCCCGGCCGACGGGGGACCCGTGCGCGGCCGGAGCGGGGAGCGGCGCCCCGGCCGGGCCTCGGGCCTGCCTCGCCCACCGCTCACCTCTCGGGGTGCGCCGCCCTCCGCCGCCGCTGCCGCCGCCTCCTCCCTGTGAGTGCAGCGCGGTCTGACCTGTGGAACCACCATACCAGTCCCGCCCGTTGCTGCAGCGCCGTCGCCGCCGCTCTTTGTTCCCCCTCCGAGAGCCACTACTTCAGCCGCCCGCCTCAGCCGCCCCGACGGGCGGCCACTACGCCCTCCCGCCCTCTCGGCTCCCGGCCTCGCCCTCCTCGCTGCGCCCGCCGCCCCCTTCGCCGCCGCCTTCGTCTCCGCGCCGCCGACGCCGCCGCCACCGACGCCGACGCCTCCTCCTCCGCGCCCCCCTCGCTTTCATTGAAAGCAAACAAGCATCATGGCGGCGGCTGCCGTCTCTCAGCCAGCGAGCGCCGGGACCGCCGCCTCCGCTCCAACATCCCGGCCGCTCATTGGCCGCCGTCTCCGGGCGCAACCATCCGGCCCTCGGCGCAGGGGTCGCTCCCGGCACGCCGCTGTCCAGGCCCCGCCTCCTCACCCCCGCGCTGGGGAGCGATGGCTCGGCCCGGAGCGCTGAGGGCCCCGCCTCCCGCCGCCCCGCCTCCCGCCGCCCGCCGCTCCGCCGCCCCGCCGCCCCGCCGCCCCGCCGCCCCGCCGCCCCGCCGCCCCGCCGCCCCGCCTCCCGCCGCCCCGCCGCCCGCCGCCCCGCCGCCCGCCGCCCCGCCGCCCCCCGCCCCCCGCCGCCCGCCGCCCCGCCTCCCGCCGCCCCGCCTCCCGCCGCCCCGCCTCCCGCCGCCCCGCCGCCCGCCGCCCCGCCGCCCCGCCGCCCCGCCGCCCCCCGCCCCCCGCCGCCCGCCGCCCCGCCTCCCGCCGCCCCGCCGCCCCGCCGCCCCGCCGCCCCGCCTCCCGCCGCCCCGCCGCCCCGCCGCCCCGCCGCCCGCCGCCCCGCCGCCCCGCCGCCCCGCCGCCCGCCGCCCCGCCGCCCGCCGCCCCGCCGCCCGCCGCCCCGCCGCCCCGCCGCCCGCCGCCCCGCCGCCCCGCCGCCCGCCGCCCCGCCGCCCCGCCGCCCGCCGCCCCGCCGCCCCGCCGCCCCGCCTCCCCGCCTCCCGCCGCCCCGCCTCCCGCCGCCCCGCCTCCCGCCGCCCCGCCTCCCGCCGCCCCGCCTCCCGCCTCCCGCCTCCCGCCGCCCCGCCTCCGCGCCCTCCCTCCCTTCGTCTTTGCGTCGGTCCATCCTCTCCTTCTCCTCCCGCTCTCCTCGCTCCTTTCCCTCCTTGGCGCTTCTGCTCCTCCGCTTTTCATCTAGCTCTTTTTCCGCCTTGGGTTGTCCACTTTTCTCTCCCCTTTCCTTCTTTTCCTCGATCCTCCTCCCCTTTTCTCCTCTTCTTTTTCCTTAGGCCTTCACCTGTCAATCACGTCGAAACACAGATTTTTGACCGTCGACAGTATTTTGCTCTGCCTAAAGACAAGACATTCAATCGTGAACAGTCGAATAATTATTCCTTTCTCAATTATGCAGAAAAAAATAAGTTAATAGCCCGCTTCAGTCCATTGGTGGTCATCCATTCCAGTACATTAATGGACAGTTTGGGTGCTGGGGTCCTAGCCCTGAGTAATGGACAGGAGCTGCTGCGTTCAAAGATCAAGATGTTCTGTTGAGGACAAGCTCTGGTGATTGAAGGAGAGCAGAGAAATGACTGGCTGATTCATGATGCTTGCATTGGGAAATATTACTTGACTGATGCTCAGGGCACAGAGATGAATCAGACCCGACCCTGCCCTGAGTAAGCTCACAGTCTAGGGCCAAGAATAACACCCAACAGACTTGTTTTGTTTTGTTTGAGACGGAGTCTCACTCTGTCACCAGGCTGGAGTGCAGTGGCAAGATCTCGGCTCACTGCAACCTCGCCTCCCAGGTTCAAGCGATTCTCCTGCCTCAGCCTCCCGAGTAGCTGGGACTACAGTCGCCTGCCACCACGCCCGGCTAATTTTTTTGTATTTTTGTCCAGGCGCGGTGGCTCACACCTGTAATCCAGCACTTTGGGAGGCCGAGGCGAGCGGATCACCTGAGATCGGGAGTTGAGACCAGCCTGACCAACATGGCGAAACCCCGTCTCTTCCAAAAATACAAAAACTTAGCTGGGCGTAGCGGCAGGCGCCTGTAATCCTAGCTACTCGGGAGCCTGAGGCAGGAGAATCGCTCGAACCTGGGAGGCGAGGTTGCAGTGAACCGAAATCTTGCCACTGCACTCCGGCCTGGAGACAGAGTGAGACTCCGTCTAGAAAAAAAAAAAAAAAAAATCAAGCTATATGCTAAAGGGTAGGAAAAGGAATAGCTGCCTGCCCACCTATGTGGCAAACTAGGATAGGTTGCTAACTGCTTCCTGGAAAATCAGCCCTGAAGAAATGAGAGGGAGACAGGTTCCAGGAACTAACAGTAGCAACAAACCAAACCTTCTACTTCGTTGAAGGCTGTTTTGAGCTGGGGATGTGGGAAATGGGTTGCTGTAGTCTGGGATGGTGGAGACCTGGCTGGAAGGGCAAGGAAAGGATTAGGGACAATAGCTGCTCAAAGATCAAGATGGGCCGGGCCGGTGGCTCACGCCTGTAATCCTAGCTCTTTGGGAGGCCAAGGTGGGTGGATCACCTGAGGTCAGGAGTTCAAGACCAGCCTGGCCAACATGATAAAACCCGTCTTTAAAAAAAGAAAGAAAAAAAATCATAAAAATTAAGGGAAAAATAATATTTAAAAAAAAAAAAAAGATCAAGATGATCTCCCTCTCCCCAGCATGGTGTTGGGATGGTCATTGCTTGGCACTGCCATGACATCAGTAGTGACAGCCCATGCCTCTAGGGCCATAGGACACTGGGCAAAAGGAGGGCAGTGCAAAAGCTCAGGAGTCAGGAAGAGTACCTGCAGACCAACAAGCTGCCTGTGGCCATCCCTCCAGACTCCTCCAGCCCCAGGCGGAGGGAGTCATGCAGCCCTGTGCTGTACGGAGCATCCAGGCTGAGGGGCCGATGGGACAGACATCCTGCAGGGCCTCTCCTGCCTGTGTGAGTGCCCTGGCCGCCTGTGCTCCAGCCTGGGTGCCTTTTTGTAATTTGTAGGGCCAGAGGGAGCCACTCTTGGCCGGTTGAGATAACTCACGCCTTAATCCCAGTACTTTGGGAGGCCAAGGCCGCCAGATCACTTGAGGCCAGGAGTTGGAGACCAGCCTGGCCAACATGGCAAAAACCCCATCTCCACTAAAAATACAAAAAAAAAAAAATTAGCCAGGCGTGGTGATAGGCGCCTGTAATCCCAGCTACTTGGGAGGCTGAGGTGTGAGAATCACTTGAATCCAGGAGGCAGAGGTTGCAGTGAGCTAAGGTTGCACCATGGCACTCCAGCCTGGGCAACAGAGAAAGACTCTGTATTTAAAAAAGAAAAAGAGGGTTGGGCGCAGTGGCTCAAGCCTGTAATCCCAGCACTTTGGGAGGCCAAGGCAGGTGGATCACGAGGTCAAGAGATCGAGACCATCCTGGTCAACATGGTGAAACCCCGTCTCTACTAAACGTACAAAAAATTAGCTGGGCATGGTGGTGCATGCCTGTAATCCCAGCTACTCAGGAAGCTGAGGCAGGAGAATTGCCTGAACCCAGGAGGCGGATGTTGCGGTGAGCCGAGATCATGCCATTGCACTGCAGCCTGGGTAATAAGAGCAAAACTCTGTCTCAAAAAAAAAAAAAAGAAAGAAAGAAAGAAAAAGAGGGAGCTATTCCCTTGTGACTGGCATGGTGTGTATGGAGGAGGGGAGGTCTTGTTGCACAACAAAAAACTCAGTAGCATAAAGCAACGGTTTTACTGTATCTCATGAGTCTGATACTCTCCCTTGGGGCCTCATGCCTGTGCCATAAGTGGCAGCTGGGTGTTGAACATCTGGCACCTCAGTGTCCCCTAATGAGGCCTCCCCCTGCAGTGTCTCATCCCTTCCTTCAGCCTTTGTGTGTGACTCCTCTCTCCAGCAGGAGATCATCCTGCACTTCTTACGTGACAACCAGGGGCTCCAAGAGGAAACCGAAGCTGCCAAGCCTTCTGAAGAAGGCCACTTCAGTATTCTGCTAATTAAAGCAGGCACAAGCCCAGGCCAGATTCAGGAGCTGTGGAGAGCTGTGTGCACATACAGGGCGGGTGGACTTATTGGAGCCCTCTGGAGAGACTTGCTACCACCAGGAGGGTACAATGGTGGCTCTGCTCTGCATGCCCTTTTCTTTCTGCATAGCTGAAAAGAACCCTGCAAAATGCCCATTCGCCCTTTCAGACCCAGATCAAAGTGCCCCTCACATTAGGCCTCCCATTTCGAGTTATGAAACTCACAACTCAATAGGCTTTGCAAGAAAGGGAATTGACATGTTCAGGTGCCACATGGCTGAACCATTCAGGCATTGCAAGGTGGCATCAAGAATCGATCTCACCTCCCACCCTCCACCCTGCTCTCCACTCTCTCTCCGGGCCTCACGCAGGCAGGAAAGATGCCACCAACACCTGCAGACTTAGATTCTACCAGCTTCTCCACTTAGAGAAGGTACTTCTTCCCTAATGGTTCCAGCGGAAGACCCAGGGCGGGCTCTCACTGGCCTGGCCTGGGCCTTGTTTCTACTGCAGCCAGGCAGTACCAAAGCAGGAACCATCTGGGACTGAGACGTGCGAAGCTAAGACAGCATGAATTGCTGGCAGCCAGCACCATCTTCCTCACCACAGGGAGAGATGAGACAGTGATGAAGATGTGGAGTCTCAGAGTAAAGTCCTGACAACTTGATTTCAGTAGTTTTTCCCTTTAGCATGTGACCTATTCCAAGTATACACACCAATACTTCATTTATTAATTCATTTTTGCTTAAATTAGTTTGAGTTTGGCTTCTGTAGCTTACAACCAAAATAATTCTAATTTGACTCCGTAAATGCATTGCACAGATGGATACACGACCGGAATAGGGTCATAATCAGATGTGCACAGCAAGTCAGTGCACCAAGACACCAGGCTGCAAGAGAGGAACAGGTTTAATCCTAGGGCCACAGGACGTGGAGACTGGAGGAAACCAAATCTGCCTCCCTGATGAGTTTGGGGCTAGGATTTTCAAGGGTTTTAGAGCGGGCTGAAGAGTGGAGATGGTTGGTTTGTCACAGAGAGCAGGGTGAAGCAGGGTATTCTCATGCTGATTTGTTTCCTTTGGGTGCGGGTTGCCGGGGGGTCTTCAAACTGGTTGGCATCAGCTGTTCTGCTGGAATTCAGGTTCTGCTTGAGTACTTCTACTGATTGATTGAGATGGAGTCTTGCTCTGTCGCCCAGGCTGGAGTGCAGTGACGCAATCTCAGCTCACTGCAACCTCTGCCTCCTGGGTTCAAACGATTTTCCTGCCTCAGCCTCCTTTATATGTATTTTATTTATTTTCGTTCTTTTTTTTTTTTTTCCCTGAGAGAGAGTCTTTTTTTTTTTTTTTGAGACAGAGTTTCACTCTTGTTACCCAGGCTGGAGTGCAATGGCGCGATCTCGGCTCACCACAACCTCCGCCTCCTGGGTTCAGACAATTCTCCTGCCTCAGCCTCCTGAGTAGCTGG